CATGGAAGGCCACATGCTGTGGGGCGCTTGGGGCTGGACGTGGGGTCACAGATCCAGGATGTGAGCATGGGCGGCCACTGCGTGGCAGACACTTCTGCCGGGCCAGGCCGTGCGTGCTGGGGGCCTGTGCTGGGGGGCGGGGGGCCTGCTCACATGGTAAGGATGGTGCGGCTGCCTCTTCTGCTTTGTTTCATGACACCTGGTGGCCCCTTCCTAGTGTGGCTGATGTGTCACCATGTCCAGAAGGCTTGTGGTTTCAGGGGAGACGTGTCTTCTTAGTTCTGGTCTAATGTGTTGTGAGCAGCGGCCCTGGTCACCATCACAGGACGTGGGACACTGGCCGGCACGCGCCATGCTCCCTGCCCTCCGTCCACACAGCCCAGGCCCTGTGGGGGAGGGGAGCCCTCCTGTTCGCCCCCATCTTCTCTACAAGCCCCAGCTGTGGACCCAGTTACTGGGGTGCCAGCGACTCAGACCGGCAGAGTGGCTTTGGCTGACCTTAACCATGGGGCCCGTGCTGGTGATCTCAGGGCCCCATGGGGGACACTCCTGTGAGGTCAGCCTGGGCCAGTGAGGGGCAGACAGGACGCTTGTGTGGTGGGCCCTGCCCAGAGACCCCAGGGCAGGTGGGAGAGGTGTTCAGGGTCACCTCTGGGTGTCTTCCTGCCCAGGAAGCCCCGGGAAGAAGGAGCTCTTCCCTGTGCGGCTGTGGCTGCTGCTGGCAGCTGTGTAATGACCTGACCTTCCCCATGGCTTCCCACGTTTCCCAGGGGGCAGGTGGGAGGTACAGCTGGGGCTGCGTGCCCCGGGGGGTCCCCCAGAGCACCCTGCATGACCGGGGACAGGGCGCCCGGGCCTGCTGGCCTAGGGGGAACGAATTGAGATGGCAGGGGCTGTGTATGCTGAGGGGGGTTCCTGGCTGGTGGGTACGAGGAGGGCACAGGGGACCCCCCTTCTCCAGATTTCTCAGGACACCCGCTCTTCTCATGGAGCGGCCGGCGGGTGAGGGCTTCCGGGGCCAGGCGCATCAGCAGGGTGCTGGGACAGCCCATGACCACCCTGTTTCTCTTGTCGGGCGGGGGGATGCCTTGAAGAGCCCCCAGGGCACACGAGACAGAAAGGGGCAGGCGGGCCGCCTGCTCCTGAGCCTGTTGTGCAGTCTTCTGGATGTTTAATGGCATCTACCAAGGTCGTGGCTGCCGACGGAGAGGGGCTTGGGCAGGCTGATGATCTCCCGGGGCGGTGCCGTTCCTGGAGGAAGCATGCCTGCCTCTGATGTGAGCCCCGAAGCCTTCAGCAGAAGGGGCGGCCGTGCGGACTCCCCGATTCTGGGTGCTGCTGGCACCTTGCCCCCCAGCAGCTCCCACTGTGATTGGCCGTGACTCCCCAGAGCCCCCACGCCCCTCTTCACTGTGTCTGCTAGGCCGCTCAGCTCCCCGATCATGGAGGTGGGGCTGCCCAGACCCCTGCCCGGGGTGGGCTGTCCGTCCCCCGTGTGGCCTACCTGTCCGGGGTCAGGCCGGGTGGTCACAGCTGCTTCCTGGGCAGGGACAGATGAAAAGGCAGAAAGGAAACAGTATCGGGGGGAAGGGGTTTGTGCGACAGGCCGTGATCTGGCCACCGTTTCTCCCTGAGGGACTGTGTTTGGGACCTGACACCCTCAGTGGTGCAGGACCTGGGACCCCATCTGCCCAGAGCAGCAGGGGCTGTGGGACGATGGGGGGGGGGGGCATTCAGGTCCCGCATCCATGGAGAGTGGCCGTCACCCTCGCCCAGCCTCCCTGAGATACCCCCCAGCAGAGCTCGCTGGGATCCCCTGCAACAGTGACTTTGGGTCATTTTCTTCTGGGGACATTTTCTTGGGGACCCTGAGTCAGGCGCCTGGCCAGGGAAGGGACTGCCACTCTAGGTCAGAAACTGCCGCCCCTTGAGTGTGTGTTGCCCAGGCCCCTCCCTGACGGGCCAGGGGACTGGGGAGCCCTCGGGACACAGCCTTCCCTGCAGGGAGTGTGGTCGGGGCCGGGGCGGGTGGTTAGGCCTGGGCTTGGGGCGACTTGAAAGCAGAGGGCCCGGCGCCTCGGGGCGCCTCACTCCTGGGCTCAGCCTGACGTCCAGCTGACTGTGGTTGGGTCCATGACCAGAGAGGTCTCGGGCCTCATGGGGTCCCCTTCTCAGGCCTTTTAGAGACAGGGCTCCCCCCTTGGGGACACCTCGACTCCAGATGCCTGTCCTCCAGTACAGAGGGGGGCCACCCAGTCTGGGGTGCTTTGTTCTGGCTACCCCGGGACGTGGGTTTGCGTCCTCACCTTGAAGCTCGGGTGAGTGACCTTGGACAGCATCAGGAGCCCCTCTGAGCCTCAGCCCTTTGTCTGCGAGGGGGGTTTTGATGACCCTCCTCAGCCCTGACCACTGGGCCATGGTCGTCTCCAGCCTCACGCTGCCCGTCCCCTCTCTGCACCCGCCGCCCCCTGGGGGCCTGTTGGCCACCCCCAAACCCTGCATCAGGGTGAGGTGGTCTGGTTTGCTGCAGCCACTGAGAGAGCTGCTTTCCTGCTCACTGGAATCCTGGCCATTTGGATAGAAGAGGCTGGGCCGCCCCTCCCCCCGCCAGCTGGGCCGCTCGCTCGCTCACGGGGGGGGGGGGGGGTTGTTGCTCTCTCTCAGCCCTTCTGCCCCAGGGTCCTTTCTGGCCCCAGGAACCTGACGCTGGGTTGGGACCCGGACAGGCAGTGTGCCCGAGGCTCGGTGATACTGCAGGGAGGGGCCATCAACCATGGACACCTGTCTGGGAGATCAGTGTCTTGTCCCCCACACCCAGCCCCCAACCTGGAGCCCGCTATGTCCTCCGGTGTTGGGGGGGGGTTGCTTTGGGCTTCAGCTCCTCCCAGCCGCCTGCCTGCACCGCCTCTGTCTCCCTCAAGGGCACGGGTGGGTGGGGGGCCTCCAGGCCAGCCCCCCGGGCCAGATGTGGTATCTACGGAGCTGGCCTGGGGGTCGGACCCAGCGCCAGGGAGGCCTGGGGCCGGCAGCTGAGCCAGCACCAGGGCATTTGGGTTTCCCTGTGTGGCCCTGTGTCCTGGAATTTTCTATTCCATGTAAATGAGGAAAGGCTTCGATGCTCCTTTCACATCATAGTAAGGTGCTCCCGAGCGTCATTTCTTTCCATTGAAATTTTATCTGTGTCGGCATCATGTATGTTCAAATTTTCAAAGTCTGCTAGTGATTGATAACAAGTGTCTGAAATAATTCATGTCCCAAAGGATGCCATCTTCTGCTGTTTCTTGTTTTGAGGTTTTACACTTGGGCGTCATTCATGGACATATTTCCTGTGGAAGATGAAGATCGAACAATCTTATACTCCCTCCTCCCTGCCACACCCCCCACACGTGCACATACACACATGTACACACACGCGCATGCATGCACACTCCCACGAACCCACATATGCTTGTGCATGCATGCACCCACACACACACAGACTCACACTCGCACACGCTCATGTACACACATGCACACACACGCACACAGCTATTTGCCTAACTCCAGATGTGGTGCTGATATAGGACGTCGCGGCATCTGCATGAAGATGCCCATGAGTAAACTTCATTTTTGTTCAGCTCCATTCTCTGCGGAGTTGAATTTGCCTCATTTTTTTTGGCTGCTTATTAGTTTTTATGGTCTTATCACTAATTTGTTCCCAGCAAAGAGTGCTCAGACCTCTCAGGGCCTTCAAACAGCGCACCATCACCATGTGAACGAGCTTTCCCAGAACACACTGGCGAAGACAGTGCGCCTGTGTGTGCTCCCAGGCCACCGCGCTGGCCGGGGCTGACGTGTCGTGCGGCCCCTCACCTATGGCGCCCACCACACGCCTGGGGCCCTGAGCTCTGTGTGTGTCTGTCTCTTTCTCTCTCTCTCCCCCTTTCTCTCTCCGTCTCTCTCTCTCCCCCATCTCTCCCATCTCTCTCTCTCTCTCTCTCTCTCTCTCACACACACACACACACACACACGCACGTACACACTCACATGCACACGTGTCCAGGGCCTCTCTGGTGGCGGCTGCCCTTCCGCCCAGCGTGATGGTCTCAGGGCAGTCGGGACCTTGTGACGGCAGCTCCCCAGCAGCTCTGTCTGGGGGGCTGAGCGAGGAATGGTGCAGCAGCCTCTCTGCTTGTTTGGTCCAAGTGCATCGGGGCGGGGCTCCCCTGGCGGGAGAGCGGCCGTCTGCACCCTGCGGGCACCCTGTCCGGAAGCCCCTGGCTGGCTGGACTGTCTCCTGCTTGCTGGACGCCGCTCCCCTCGCCCTCCAGGACCTCCAGTGACCGTGTGGCCCCCACCCCCCGACTAAAGTGCAGGGAACACGTTGTCCCCCGTCACCAGTCTCAGGCTGCTCCTCTCCTGCGGCCGTGGCCGCTGTCTGTGTGCAGGGTGTGGTCCCTGAGGCCAGGCCTGCTCAGGGATGGCCGTCTGGAGACCTGGGAAGGGTTTTCTTATTCGAGGGTCTGTGCCCTCAGCTCCGGGGGCGCCCCTGAACCAAGAGGGTATCCGTCACACACCCTGACGGTGAACACTGGGGTCCCTCTGCGCTGTGAGCCCCAGGGCCAGGTGCACAACCACTTTAGCGCCCCAGCCCACGGCCGCGAGTGGCCAGAAGGATCTAGTGCTTCCCGGGGAGCCCCATGGTCTGGGCTTTCAAGCCGTCAAGTGTCCACACCTTTTTCTGGGAAATCCCGGGGCCTGGGAGGCGGGATGGGCACGGCGGGCTGCGGGCTCCGGGCCTCCGGGGGTTCAGCGGGCACAATGTGGCACCAGGAAGGCAGGACTCCTGGGGAGGTGGGGGGGTGCGCGGGGTCCCTGTGGGTCCTGGTGAGACTCAGAGCCTGGGGCCGGCGGCTCAAAAGCCCCACACGGGTGCTCAGAACTGGGGGTCAGACCCCGGGGGTCCCGTCCCCCAGCACTTGACCCACAGGTAACCTCTTTCCCTCTCTGCTTCCCTCAAGGTCACCGACGATGAGGGCGTGGCTGGTCTCCCGGAGCTTCTGACTTGGGGGTGCCCTCCACGTCCCCCGTTCCGCCTGAGGGACCCCGTGTGCCTTCTGGGCGGCCGCGTGCAGAAGTGCGCCAGCTCGACGGCGGCCAGCCTGCCTGGGGGTCCCCGCAGGGCAGCAGGTGTGTGTGGGGAGGAGGACAGCCCGGGAGCACAGCGGCTCCCCCCGCTGAACGTATTTATTCCCCTGACTCAGGCTCTGGCTCCTGTGGTTTGTGAAGTTCCAGGAGCCCCAACGCTTCTGCTTCGGCCTCGCCCGCTGGGTGCCGAGGAGGGGTGAGGCCCGCCGCGCGGCCAGCTTCCGGGCCAGGCCCCCTCCGGCCCGCAGGCTTCCAGAAACCAGCTTGCACGTGTGGGCGCTCCCTCCCCAGCCCTCAGCGCAGGGTGTCTGTGCACTTGAGACCCCAGAACCTGCCCGCCACCCCCACGATCCTCCCAAAGCGGGGGCCGCGGGCACCCACGGTGAGGCCCGGGGAGGGGCCGCTCTGAGAACGTGGGACTTCAAAAGGAAAACAACCTGGCCTGTTGTCTGTAAGAGCTGATCCGGTCTCCTTTCTGTCACTTTAAAGACCAAAAAGAAAAAGAGAGAAACAGAAAATGAGTTCTGCTCCTTTTTTGTTTAAACACGAAAGAGGATGAAGGGACGACTGTGTCGAAGCCGCCGAGCGTTCCCGCGTGTGTCCTGTGTGTCGCGTGCGGACGGCCCGCAGAGGGATGCCGGCCGCGTGCGAAGGTGGCGGCCTGGAGAAGCAGGGGCCGGGCCACACCCCTTCCCGCCCGCCCTGGGCGCTGGCTCTCCTCTGGGCCTCCCTGGGGCTGCCCAGGGGGCAGGGTCTCTGCAGACAGGGCAGCCCCTCCAGGGACCCCCGCTGCCCCGGCCTCCCGGCTGGCTCTTCCGGAGCCGAGGGCCAGCCCAGGGCAGACGGTGAGCTGTGCCTGGGCCTGGTTTTACTGGAACATTTGAGGGCCCCACTGCCCCACCTGGATTGCCGTGGCCAGGCCGGGAGCGTGTGTGTGTGGGGGGCACACGGGAGCCCTCCGGGACGGAAGTCTCCCCTCCCCCTGGTTCCTGTGGCTCTGGGCTTGACTCGGGTCAGGGGGTGCGGGACGGGGACATCAGACGCCCACACGGCAGAGCCAGAACCTCACCAGAGTAAACCCTTAGGAGGAGCTGTTCTGGTCCAGGCCCCTCCACCCTCGGCCCCACGGGTCCGCCAGGGCAGGGGGGCTTTGGAGGGAGGAGGGCCGGTGCTCCGCGGGGCCAGAGCTCACAGCCGCCCTAAGGCCATTCCCCCAGTGTGGCGCCCGGGTCTGCGTGCCCACCTTGAGGGGAGAAGGGATTTCTGTAAGGTGCCACCTGGGCTTAGGGGCAGCACCAAGGCCGAGAGAGGGCGTTCTTGGAAAGCTCGGCGTGGCTCCTCGGACTCAGGGCCCCTGTGGGCACTTTGCTAACGGGGCCACGGCCCCCAGCCCCGTGCCCTCAGGTCGCAGCAGCAGGGGCAGCCCCAGGCTGAGGCGTGAGGAGGGCCACCAGCCGGTGGGGGTTTGCATCCAGGCGTCCCGTCCTGAGCACCCAGAGCTGCCCCTGGGCTCGTCCCAGGTGGGACGCCTGACCCCAAGACAGCTCTCAGGCCTGTGGCTCCCCAGTCCCTCAGCAGCCCTGTCCCCGATGCCCAGATGCCACCTGTCCCTGCCCAGGGCGCCCTCCTGCCATTGGCTTGGGCCCCACGTGACCAGCGGCCCTGCTGGCTCAGAGCCCCCCAGGCTGCCCTTGTCCTTGCTGAAGCCCCCAGGCCGTCTGGCGGGAGGGTCCCCTCAGCTCCCCCCCACCCCACCAGCCGGGGTGCCCCGGCCCCTGGGCGTGCAGGGACAGACAGGCTTCTAATTAAAAGGGAAGGTAGCTTTTTTTTTTTTTAAGTCTTTGTGACTGTTTCTTTAAGCAGCAAATTATGTTTTCTTGTCAGTTTGATTTCACGGCACCCCAGCACGCCTGCCCGTGATAGTCCATCCCCCTTCCCGAGAACTGGGAGGCAGGGCCCTCACCCAGAGCTGCCCGAGCCCGGGTCGGTGTCTGGGCCCTGGAGACACCTGGGTGCCTGGTGAGTCAGGTGCTCTGCTCCTTCCCTCTGCCACGCCCGCTCCGTGGCCCTGGATGGACTGGCCGCACAAGGGCCACAGGAAGTCAGTGGGCTTCCTGGGGAGGGTTGCTGGCTGCTGGTTGGGGAAGTGCAGAGGAAGACTCCCGCCAGCTTGGGAAGGGGCTGGGGCGGAGGTCCCCTCGACAGAGGGCCCTACCCCCCCCCCCCCCCCCCCCCTCCATGGCCCTGGATGGACTGGCCGCACAAGGGCCACAGGAAGTCAGTGGGCTTCCTGGGGAGGGTTGCTGGCTGCTGGTTGGGGAAGTGCAGAGGAAGACTCCCGCCAGCTTGGGAAGGGGCTGGGGCGGAGGTCCCCTCGACAGAGGGCCCTACCCCCCCCCCCCCCCGCCTTGAGCATGGCCCGGGCTGGAGGGGCCAGCCTGCTCCGTGTGATGAGGTCCTGGGTGTCACCGGGGTGTGGAGCAGTGTGAGGCTGGGCTGGGGGGGCATCGGGAGCCCTGGGGGGGCAGTCCCGGGGCCCTTCCAGCTCTGGGGCCTGGCCTCTCTGGACCCTCCTTCAGGAGCTGGTCTGCTCTGAGAACAGGCCATCTGGGCGTGTCCCCCATGGACAGAGCCTGTCCTGTAGCCTTCCAGGAGACGGGGGCAGGGTACCGGGTGAGTGTGGCCCCGGTCGCCAGGGTCCTTCCCACAGGGCTGGTCGAAGGTCATTGGCCCCCTGGCCAGCCGGCATTGCTTTTGATGTCCGGGGCCCGGGGAGGACCGGAGGGTGGCTGGCGGCCACTATGCAGGTCTGTTTTCCGTCACGTGCCCCATCCCCGCCTGCGTCCTGCTCTTCCGGTAGATGGGGTCTGAGTGCCCCCTCCAGGCTGCCGCAGGGGTGGGGGGAGGGGGGGGGGGGGGGGGGGGGGGGGGGGGGGGGGGGGGCTGGCAGGGGCGGGGCGGGGCGGTCCCTCGCCTGCTGGAGGCCCTGCGGCCGGAGGCCCATTGGTGCCCGTCTCCGCGCTCACAGAGGCCCGAGCCCCCAGCTGCCGCCTGTGGTCTGGCTCGGGCTGCGTGTGGTGACACCCGCGGGGCCCGGGGTCTGCTCAGCGTGGGCGCTTCAGGGTTGAACTGTGTTGAGAAGGAAGGTGGAGTCCCCACAGCCGTGCTGGCCTGGCTCCCACCTGACCCCCCAGCTCCCCTGCGGACGTTGGACGTCCGTCCGTCCAGAGGGCTGCCGGTGTGGGGGGGCCGAGGGCACGGTGGGCGTGGGTCTCGGGGCTGGAGGGGTCCCCGGACAGAGGAGGGAGAGGGGCTGACCCGCTTCCACTGGCCTCCCATGCTGGTCCCCTGCCACAGCAGTCCCTCTCCACTCCCAGGGCAACCTGGGTGCCGCCCGTCGTTCAGTTGGGGACCCAAGGCCTGAAGAGCGCACGGCTCGGCCAGGGTGTTGCCGAAGGGGCTTGGGACCCGAGGGCTATGCCCATCCTGCTGCCCCTCGGGAGGCCGACCCCCTCCAGGCCTCGGGCCCCCTGGGCTCTGTGACCCGGCCGCTCTGGGTGCTTCACGATGGGGGCAGGGCGCTGGGCCACACAGGTGGGGGGTGGGGGGCTGGGGCTCTCAGCCCCAGAACTGCCGGTTCTGCTCCCCGGAAAAGCATAGGAGCCCCCCCAGGGGCCTCCTGCTTGGCTGCTCCGGGGGCCGTGGAGGGGGGGGGCAGAGCAAACACAGAGTCCTCACTGGGGCTGAGGGTCTTTAGGGACCTGCAGGTCACCACAGGCGAGTCTTCCAGCGGCTTCCGATCCCGTCGGCTGGGTTTAAGGGCCCCGAGGCCTGGACACTTGGAATCCCGCAGAGGTGCCCCTCCCCCCCCCATGCCTTCCCTTTGCTGCAAGAGTTCTTTTTCTCTAATTATAAAATAACCACTGTTGGTGGTAGAACATTAGTAAAATTAAAGCAGAAAAGAAAATAAAAATCTGCACTCCTCCCCACCTTCCCTCCCTGGTGGGCCTGCTGCCCATTTCTCCCCCAGTGACCTTTCTGGGCCCTGGGTCCACTCAGGGACACTGTCACCAGGGCCGGCCTCCCTCCCTGCCCCACCTGTGAGGGGACCCCCAGCAGCCCTAGCTGGCGCCAGAGCTGCCCCTCACCTCAGACATCAGAGGGCCTCAGGCCCTTGACCCTGTGCTTTCACAGGCTGGCTGGACATCACTGACCACGTGAGGGAGGCCGGGCTGTGGGGCTCCCCTCTCCCCAGCGTGGCCCGTGGCCCCTAACCTGGGGGCACAGCCTGAGGAGCCCGAGGAAGGGTCTGGGATCGGTGTCCTCATTTACAGACAAGGACTCACAGGCTGAGGCCTCCTGGGGAGGCTGATATAACAAGGTGCCACGGACCCGTGCTTCTCACGCGCTGGAGGCTGAGTCCAAGGTCAAGGTTTGGCAAGGGTCCGCTGTTGGCTCCTAGACAGCCACCTTCTTCCGTGTGGTTGAGAGAGGAGAGAAGGAGCCTGGTGTCTCTTAACTCACGCCACCGTGGGGGGCCCCACCCTCACGACCTCTTCTAAATGTAACCACCTCCCCAGGCTCATCTCCAAAAACAAAAAAAACAAAAAAAAAATGTCAGCCTGCTGGGGTCAAGCTTCAACATATGGATTTTGGGGGCCCACACCTCCAGTCCTTATCAGGGCAGGGGGTCCACACGCAGAGTGCACCCTGGACCAGAGGGTGTGAGCTGGGCCTCAGGGGACAGCTAGGGACTCGGGCAGGAGGAGGGGCGCTGGGTGGGGCTGAGGGGGGGCCAGGAGGGGGGCCGGCCAGGAGGGGAAGAGGCCAGAGATAGGTGCGGGGGTCACGGGGGTTCAGGGAACATGTGGGGAGAACCCCAGCTCCTCACGGTGGGAGTGGCACTCCGTGGGCTGCAGGTCCGGGAGGAGACTCACGGCTGGGCTGCCTGGTCCTGCACCCGGTCTGCATAGGAGGGGGCTGTCCCCCCAGTGAGGAGGAGGGCTGGGGGGCGGCTGGGCGCAGACACAGCTGAGGCCTGCTTCCGGGGGTCACTGAGGCTCCGCCCCAACCACCAGCTCCCACCTGCTCCCTCCCCCCTCCCCCTCCCACCACCCATGGGTCCCCCCCTCCCCCCCCACCCATGGGTCCCCTGGAGCCAGTGCCCAGGACTGGCACCCGCAGGGCAGCAGGAAGGGGAGAGTTTAGGGCCAACTGCTGATGCTGTTGCAGCCCTCAGGTCCCTAATCTGGATGCAGTTTGAAGCACAAAGCTCCGAATGGCTGTTTGTCACGGAGAGGACGGTCTTGGTGACTTGTTTGAGCAATTGGCTGCGTGTTGGGGAGGATTCGCAGCAGAGCCAAGCACAAGGGTCCCTGAAGCCTTCGGACCCCCCGCCCCCGCCCCCGGGGAGACAGAGGCCGGCACACACTGCACAGGCCACCGTGCGCGGTGTACAATCCAGCGTGTGGGGAGCATTCGGAGTCGCGTGGCTCCAGAACACATCCATCGCCCCCTG